CTCCGGGGCTTAGCGTCGGTTGCGTCCTGGTGACAGCGACACCGGGCCTTCGTCCCTGTCTTACCCAAATCCGGAAAAAGACCATTCGCCCCACTTCCCACTTGTCATCCGTTCAGTTAACTTTTCCGGCGGTGGCGATTGAATCCAGCACTTGAGCCGCGCCCCGGCCCATTTGCTCCATTATACTAACGACCGCGATGTAGTCGGGTCGGTGGCCAAAAGGAGCTTTTTCTTTATTGTATTATTATTTTTTTTAATGTACTCGTGTATTTTTTGTTTAGCTAAATATGTTAGACCTCTTTGAAACAGACAACAGTGTTTTTCTTAAAGTCACAGCACAGGCCTTTTGCTAGACACCTGGCGTCTGGGCTAAACAGCTCCTATCAGTTTCCTGAGAAGCGAGGTACAGTTAAGTGACCGAGGCACATCAGTGGCAGTTCCTTCAGGGAAGTGTTTCCAAAGACAGGAGCCCTCCCGACTTCTCAAGTTGTTTTTTAATTTTTTAAATAATGTTTGCTGACTTTCAGGCAGCAGAGACCCTGAGTCTGAGGTTGTGCACAACAGTGAGAAAGGGGGGAGAAAAACCAAACAAATCAAGATGGCCTGCAAACCCCTGAAGGAGGATGGCTTAGTGACCTGTAATGAAAACAGCATGACACTTTCGAGTTTAGGTTTTCAAAAAGCTGACTTCCATGTTGTTTCCTCCCCATGGGTCACCCCGGGGTGGCTGGCTGTCCTATGGCAGGGACCATGGGGGTGAAGAACCAAGAGACGACTGGCCTACAGCCAGGGGGAAACTGAGGCCTCAGGCTGACAGCCTATGAGGAAGCAAGTCCTGCCAGCCAAGCAAGGGAGCTTGGAAGCGGACCAACCTTCAGTGACACCATAATCAACACATCAACTCTGTTTTTAAAATTTCATGCACAGAAATGACAGCAGGGACTGTTTTGTCTCTGACACCTTTGCAGTACCTTTGAGACTCACTCGCAGTATGGTGAACACCAGGAGTTCATTGTTCTTGTCATGTGGTATTTCACAGTCAGTTCTTCTATTCACCTGTTGACAGCAGAGCTGTCTCCAGGTGCTATGCGAAGCACTGCCACACATTCCCATCTATTTCTGAGCATTACTTCTCATGAAAATGACCAGGAGTGCAGAGATCCAGTCGTCTGCTAAGTGTACATGTCTTTTCTGTAGTGGCTGTTGACTTCTACCAGAGTGTGGGTGCTCACCGTTCCCCATCCTCACCCAACACTGGGCATCTGTCCGTAGTCTTTTAACTTTTTGGTTGTTGTCGTGATACCTTGCTGTAATCAAATCTGCATTCCTGGTGACTGATGACATGGATTATCTGTTCATGTTCCTCCTGGCTTTTCAGATGTCTTCTTTGGAGGAAAAGGCCATTCTAACTGTTTATTTTTTATTGGGTAGCATAAGTAGTAAGATCTCTTTAGATATTCTAGATATGACTTCATCAGATATAACTTATGAGTATTTTATCCCATTTTGTGAGCTGTCTTTTCATTATCTTGATGGTGTCCTCTGAAGGGCAATTAAAAAATTGATTATGAACAGTTTATAAATATAAATCTATTTCAGGTATTTCCAAGTCTGTGACTTGCATCCTCATTTTGTCTTTCAAAGAACAGATTTTCATTGTGATGAGTGCTCATGTTTATCAGTATTTTATTTTGGGATTATTTTTTATGTTGTTAGAGAGTTTTTCAGTCCGCCAGAGCTGGAGCACTAGCATAGTGAGGTAGAAGCCCTGTGTTCAATACCCAGAACCCAGGGCTGCTGAACAGACAGCAAACAGGTAAGCAAATAAAAGCTCACAGGCTTGCACCAGCAGATTGCCTAAGGGATTCACTGCAAGAAAGCTTTGCAGGCAGTTTCAATCTTCTCATTGTTATAACTCCCTAACAATCAAAATATACTGAAATTTTTAATTAAAAAAGAAGAATCAAAGAAAGTCCAGATTACTACTAGAGAGGAGATCCAGATTTTCAGGGGTGGATATGCTGCAAGTCAGTGCAATGTCATCTTCCAGATACTGAAGGAGAGTATTTAGGAATTTGGAATTCTATGATGTCATCGATCATTTAAGATTGACCGCAGGGCTGGGATACAGCCTGGTGGTAGAGAGCCTACCTAGCATGTGTGAGGCTCTGGATTCAATCCCCAGTACCACACACACCAAAGATTGAGTGCAAAATAAAGGTATTTTCAAACAAATGTGTCCTAGAAAGTTTATTGATCGTTAGCTTTCTGTCACTGGGACAAAACACCAGAGATAACTTAGAAGGAGGAAATACTTATTTTGCCTCACGTTTTCAGTCCATGGTTGCTTGGCTCTTTTAACTTTGGGTCTGTGGCAAGGCTGAACATCATGGCAGGAAGCAGCTGGTAGAGTGAAGCTGTTCACCTGTGGTGGCTATGATGAGAGAGAGGAAGGGACCAGGGTTCCATTATTCCCTTCAAGGGTGCCTAAATCCCCAGTGACTTTTTTCCCACTAGGCCCACCTCCTGAGGTTCCACCACTCCAATAGCACCATCATCAGGACCAAGTCTTTGAAATGAATCTTTGGGGGACATTTGACACTGCCCCACAGACCTGTGGTGAAAGAACTACTAAGAACATTCTTAAGAAAACAGTGAACTTAAAAGGAGTAGAATGCAAGAACCAACAGTGAGCCAAGAAGGAGGGAAAGGAGACTGAATCAAGCCGGGTGCTGGTGGCTCACTCCTGTGATCCTAGCTACTCAGGAGGCAGAAATCAGGAGGATCATGGTTCGAAGCTGGCACTGGACAAATAGTTTGAGACCCTATCTCAAAAAAACCCAACACAAAAGGGGCTAATGGAGTGGCTCAAGCTGTAAGAGCACCTGCCTAGTAAGCATGAGGTCTGGAGTTCAATCCCTAGTATTGCCAAAATACATAAATACATAAATAAAAAGATCTGATTCAGAATTACAACCTTATTGTACAATGTACTCCTTCTTAAGATATGGATGAACAGACACAGCAGTCATCTGTGACACACACATTTTGAATTTTCTGGAGTGGATCTGTGCATGTCTATATTCTGGTATTTTTAGGGGAGGTGGGCAAGTTTTACAAGCCTCTTTCATAAAATGTGACTTTTCCAACCTGACCCACTGTGGCCTCATGGGAAGCCACTCCTTTCTGTAGGAACAAGCTTTTGAAGAACACATTCTCATTCTTGTTGGAGTTACACGTTTACAGATAAATTGCTTCATTGTCCATTAAATGATATTTACAAACCAGACAATCAAATACCTCTCCCACAGTGCCCACCATGCCTTCTCTGACCCACTGTTGCTGAGGCCTTTCTGGTCCTCTCCCTGCCACAGGCCCACCTCCTTCCACACCCCGCCCTCCCTCTGCTGCTGTCACCCTTGCAGTTCTGCACTGCACTAATCTCCCTCTGCTCTGCAGACATGTGGACTCTTCTCTGCCCATCTGTAGCACCTAGGTACACAGTGACACTCAACAGACTCTGTGGAGGGATGAACAGGTTTATGGTTCAGATAGTTAAGTTACTCATAATTTCAAATCACACTCAGTTTAAGTTTAAAGTCAATGTAATGCTCCAGGATGCACCCAACTTGAAATAACTCAATGTAAAAACATACAGTTCATGTTTTATTTAGCTAAATTCACAGTATAGGCAGAAGTAAAATTATGAATACTTAACTAAGAACACTTTATATTTTGGTTTTAGCTTCTAGTATACCACTACAGGCACACAAGAAAAAGAATGATCTAATTAAAACACTTCCCTTCCCAAGTGTAGCTCTGATTCTGAAAACTATAAAAATATCAGTGAAAGTCATGTTACATATTTTTCAAAAATCAAACTGACAAATCCCATCAACAATTTTATGGGGAAAAGAGGTTCAAGTTTTATTAGGAAGCTAATGATGAAAACACAGGTTCAGAGTTATAGGCTGGTATATCTAAGTTGAAAACACAGTGGCTCAGAGGATTAAAGTACATCAGAAGAGCCTCACCTTTCTGTAGGTGTACATTTGGCAGAAAGATGAATAGTCAGCCAGTAGACAGTGAATGTATCAGCCACTCATATTCCCAGCGAGCACAAATCCTGGGTGGGAAACCGAGGAAGAAAGCCTCAGAGGTGTGATTAGATGAGCCTTGAAGATCCCGTGTCAGTTACTGCTTGGCTGGTGTAGAGAAAAGTCTGAGCCATTCATGTGAAATAGACTGGATAACTTTTTAGTTTTGTTTTTTACACAGATATCCTAATGATAATTTTTTGAGAGCTGAAAATTTTAAGCTATCATTTGTGATTCACATTTTAGCACTGGCTATCTTAAATGGATTCTATTCACGTCCTGGCACCTTCAGAATGTGACCTTCAGAATTTACGCCATGTGAACATATTTTATAAGACAATGGTCCTTCTGGTGACCAGTTTCTTGGAAGGGAATTCAAGGCAGTTTCATCACAAATGATCCCAAGTCAGTGAGTTGTGCTAATGGAAGGCTCCAGAGCACTTGGGAATGCAGTAAGCTACAGCTGCCTTTTGTATTTACTGGAAACTTATGTAAGTTTTCTACCTTGGGTCACTGGATTCATGTCTTCCCAATAAACAGACCTGTTCAGTTCACTACTGACAACTTAGCATCAGTCTTCAGCCATTATTTTACAACATTACCCTTTTAATTTTGTGGCTTTTAAGGCATTAAATCCTTAAATATTTGAAGAGTACTTATTATATTCTGATAACTCATGAAAAAATGATGTGAAACAGCTTGAAAAATTATAAGGCCTTTAAAATGACTCATTTTTAAGGTTATTCGGTAACAGAAATTGAGGGTATAAAGTGAACAAAACCACTAATTTTAGAATTCCACACATGGTCCCCTTCACAAAATGAATCTAATCTTGCTGCCTTGTCAAGAGTGGAGGGGAAGATTACAAACAAACAAGCAAACTCTGCTGAAGTTTGGGTACATTGGTAACCAATGTTTTTTATTTTCAAACGACCCAGTTTTAAGTACTGGGGTTTAAACAAATGTGATGTGAAAGACCCCTTTAAAATAGCCCAGCCAGTTCAGTACACAGACTCAGGGTACAGTAGCATTTGAAGACTTATGTTATATGAAAAAATGTGTATTTTTCATATGTGTGTAAAATTAAAGAGTTACTGACACATTTAACAACACTACAAACAATGAACACACAGGCTAGAAGGCTTCCAGACACTCACGATCTAACAAGTTTTAGAAGGTAAACCAGCTGATTTCACAGTTCTGAAGACCAAATTATCCAACCCACAAAGCTTTAGTTAGGCAAAATCTACTTTGAATATGGAACCACAGTTCTTTTCCCAGAGTTGAGAAAATTTGAGCAAAATTAGTTTTATATAGGTCTGTGGTTTGAAAATGTTGAGATACAAGAGGTTTTTAAGAGAAGCTTTCAAACATTTGTGTCACAGGTATTAACCTGCAGAATTAAGGAGACCCTCAGTATACATTGGTCACAGCTGAAGACCTCTTTCTCTTCTAGCTTCAAAGTTCTGCTCTAAAACAGGTAAGACAAGGCAGGGGCAGCTCAGTGGTAGACAGCATGCCTACTATGAACAAGGCCCTGGATTCAATCCCCAGCACCAAATAAAATAAAGCAAGTTAAAGACCACATCTCAAACACTTTGTCTAAACAGACAGTGCCGGCTCTGAACCATCAAAGGTCTCCCAGCCTCTTCTGGCTTTAGTGTCTCCAAGTCAGTTATTAATGGGGAACAAACATTATGTTTTACTCAACTGGCTCTGTGTCCCCTCTCCACAGAGCCCACAGTGCTGATCACGTGACCTGCGTGCAACTGGACATTTTCCTGAAGGAAAGGTTAAAAGAATTAGAAAGACAAAAGTAGCTGCTTTTACAGACCCTAACACAGTCATTCAAAGCTTCTAGACCCTTTTTCAAGTTTACTTTGGTTTGTCTTTAGAAATAATGGAAAGAGAAAATATGGCACAATACATGGTTAAACCATCACAGCTGAACTGCAGGCAAGGACACACGAAAATTTATGTTTCCACTCACATTGAAGAATTAATTTTATTTAGCTTACTCATAGATCCCAGCTGCTCCAGTTATTCTGATATAATTATTTCATCAGTGACAGAAAAAATATCTTCCAGTATTTGTTTTAATGACTGTAATTAAATTGTTTAGTTATACAATAGAGTAGGAAGCAATTAATGAATTTTGGAAATAAAAAATATGTATATACATTACCCTGATATCTAAGCCAAAATATATCTAACAAGTTTTCTTGATTTCTATTACTCATAAAAATAAAGGAAATATACTGCAAGTATTTTCTTTATAGACAATTTCAATTAGAAAACAAAGGTATGGTTCACGTGAGTGGACTGACGGAGGCAAGGCCAGTGTTCAGACCTTGATGGAAACGCACTAGAACTGGAGACTGAGCCTGGGGCACCTGGGTACCAGAGCTGGACGTGCACAGCATGGTCCGCTCTCACCGAGGAGGTACGCTGCAGTCAGGAGCCCCTGCGCTTGGCCTGCAGAATGTACCCCTTGGATTTGATGATGCCTCTGCTCTTGACGATGACAGAGTAGCGTAGCAGCCACAGTGGCACCCACTCCTGCGCCTGGATGTCAGGGATGCTCTCCCGAAGGGCTTCCTGGAACGTCGCCTCGGAAAGCAGTTCTGCAACAGACAAAACCCAGTTACACCGGAAAGCAAGCGCACTTCACGTAGGTGAGCATCTGCACAGCGGGATGAGCACCTCTAATGTTTAAGAGGCATGTCTCCCTGGGTCCCACTGTGATTCCTGACTTCCAGCAGCAAAGCTGCATTTGTATTTTCTGAAGATCTCTAGAGGAGTCTGACCTGCAGCCTGTAAGACACAGGGAGTAAGAAAGAGGGAAAACTCACTCCTACCCCACTAGTTAGAGGTGAGACAGCATTTCTACTCCACACACTTCCTCATGGCTTTCTTTCTAGGTGTGTGGCATCGCTCCCTTTATATGTGGGCAATTGTTAAAACCGATTCACAAAATACTTCGTTACCTGAGAGAATGTTCATGACGGGAATGAAAACAGGTGAAGCAGTCCGTAACTGCACAATGAACTGACCTGCTCTTTCCCTCCTCAGGCAACCTGCAGTTGCATTTAGGGAGGTCCACACAACCGACACTGAGCCTAGTGCAGCAGGGCACACGACAGCCCAGAACTGAACTCGTGATTCCCCCTGCCTCAGCCTCCCAAGCAGCTGGGACTGCATACCCACGGCCATGCACCAATGTGCCTGGCTAAAGTATGACTGGAAGCCACACCACTAGGCCCCCAATACTGTACTATGGATCTATTCTAACTCACTTCCTTATCATTTCCCAGACCAATCTGCTAATGAAAGCCCCGCTGCAATCAGCATCCCGGAATGCATCCCCAGGGGCATGCGCACCCAAGGCTCTGCACAGGCTCTGGCAGGCTGCTCTCTACACCCTCGTAAGCACATGCAATCACTAAAAATCTCTGTTGTATCTCGTCTTCCTAACATCCAGGTGGCTTGCTTTTAATGTTATTTTAGCATAGTCCTCGCTGACTGTCCTGCGAAGGACCACCACCCCTGACTAGACAGACACTGTTGCCCTCAGCCAGCTTTCCTCCTGTGCACATGGCCACTTAACACTTCCCACACTGATTTCATTATGTCTCTTCCCCTTAGAATGCAAATTCCAGGAAGGGGGGTTTGCCTGTCTGACTTCAGACTTAGTACCCAGAGCAATGCCAGGTTCATAGTAGGTGCTCACCTGTCTGTGGAATGAATCCATCAAGATGGAGAGATTCCATGAGGGTCAGAGAAACCACACGACAGGAAGGAAGAGACCATCACAGTGTGACCTGGGGTGTCTCAGGACCCACTTGCCCCCAAATAAATGGCTATCTACTTGACTATCATCAATCAAATAGCTAACATTAGCTACTTTTTCCCCTTCCTCTTCCTTCTCCCTCCCTTTCTCCCTCCCTCCCTCCCTTCATTTTTCTTTAACTGGGCAGTACTGGTGTTTGAACTCTGCCACTTGAGTCATGCCCCTAGCCCAATTACCATGTACAGACTCTTTTCTGAGTAATTTCCATGTATGAATTCATTTAACCCACATGTTAACTTGGGATAACTTGGCCAAGGTCACAAAGTTGGTAAAAACTTTTCATTAACAGAATGCAAATGTCTCCTTGAAAAAGCAACATTCACTGGAATTGTTCACAGACCTTAACAAGAAGAGGACCCGAGGGAGTAGGGCAAATGTAGATTAGATTTGCCGGAAGCAGAAAGGAAAGCAAATGAAGCAGTTCTGAAGTCAGCATCTGATTGTGCCCCACTGGGTTAAGTCATCATTGTGACACGTAAGACAGTGGACAACGAAAAGTGAGGGACAAGGGCCACTTTAGAGCAGAGGCCTTCAGGGAACGTATAAATCAACTCTATTTTAGATAACAAGCAAAGATAAATGTTTTACAAGTTGGCTGCTTAAAATAAAAACAACACACAATCTGAGAACTATGTTACTTATTAACTACATGCTTTTAAAATTTATTCAACTGTGTTAACCATTCAGAAAAAAAACAGGAAAAATCGAAAGCTTGGGGCCCATCTAAAGTATAGGCCCTACCTTTGGGATCATTGTGCGTCAAGAGCTGAATGTCAAACTGTTTGGCAAATGCAGTCAAGTCAGGTGGCATCACACAGCAGGAGGCAAGGTTAACTTGGTTACTATTTGGTTTTACCTAGAAGTGAAAATAAAATCATGACAGCTTTACAAAATTAAGTAATACAGAAAGTAATACACAATAAAAGGACTTAATTCCAGAATTCATGAGAAATCACCCTCTGTGATGATTCAAGTCTACAAACATTCTATGTGACTATCTCTGTCAACAGGTGCTTCTCTAGCCCATCCTAGTGGTAATTTTTACCACTAGGATGGAGGGAAGGAGGGAAAACCAAGTTTCCTGCTGGAACCAGGCAGCAATCTAATGCATCGACCTTGGAAACAAGCACCGTTCTAAGTGTAATGGTGTCAGTAACAGGAGTGTGTCTTAAAGTGGAGGATAATCCAAGTAAGTGCACTTAATGTCAAGTATAAAATATGGCCACTAATCACACACGTTCTGACAGAGGACTCAGTGGCGTCCAGCAGCTGCACTGGTCAGTACATCCTGGTTAACACATCTTGGGTTGCCCAGGCCTCTCCCAGTTTCTTGGCCATGTCCAACCAACCATGTCAAAGGAAGAAGGGGCCATAGTTTCTCTATGGTCTTCCTACCCGTAAGAAACTCTGAACACTCTGAAAAGAAGGCTAGGAATGAAGTAAAGGAAAGAAGAAAAATACAGAGTAAAGGTAAAATACTAACCACTCCCCTTCTAATTTTGTGGGTTATTTGAGCACAGTTGGGGTGAGAGACTTATGATACCAGTGCATATCAAGCTGTGCACACCGAGTCTTATGCATCCTTAAATAAGAGTCAGCAAAATATTTGTTATACAATGTTTCCTTGCTTAGGAAATTAGATGTATGGCCTCATAATACCTAAAGAAAACTGCAACATCTTTGTCACATATATAAAACTGAAGGAAAAAGCCTAAATTCATTTGGCATGAAAACTTTCATATTTTCTAGTATTCTTCTCACTTTGTGTGTGTGGTATTGGGGTTTGAACTCAGGGTCTCATGCTTGCTAGGCAGACACTCTACCACTTGAGCCACTCTACCAGCCCTTTTCGCTTTAGTCATTTTTCAGATTGGATCTTGAATTATGTTCGTGCAGCCAGGACAGTGACTCTTCTTTACGCTTCCCATGTAGCTGGGATGCACCATGCCCACTGTGACCAGTTGATAGAGGTCTTGACTTTTCTGCCCAGGTAGGCCTCAAACCGTGATCCTCCTAATCTCCATCTCCCAAACACCACTGTGCCATACTGATTCTGTCATTTTAAATGCGATTAATACTCAGTGCAATTAGATATACATATTTTTAAAAACTCAACCCCTGCTCCTGGAGATAATGCTGCCTGAGAACCCCCACATTTGTAGTAGTCATGGAGTGGTGAGCAAGCACTCTGTGCCCACAGCTGCAGAGTGCAGGTCCCTCCCCAGGGCCCAGGGTCCACGTCCTTCACCTGTGCCCACTGATACAGCTGCTCCAACTGTGTTTTGTCCAGATCAGAGGTTCCTATAGCAACAATTTTCTTGCTTTGAACCAGGTTTTCTAGTTCCTCCCAGTAAGGCTGTAAATGCTCCAAGGACAGATTGACTCCATCTTCAATAGGGGGCGAGGCAATAATAACGGAATCCAGCTGTGCGACTCCAAGGACTGAGCAAGCTGACAAGAATGAGAGGCAAACAGGATAGATGCTTATTACAAGTGCAACTAATGTCCTCAAGGTGTCCACTAAATCCTGCCCAGACAGTCGTCTACTGTTGTCCTACACAACACCTTTCATTTAGAATGTTTCCATCTTTAGCACAATGCAAGTACCTATTCACCTCCTCTCTGTTTCTCTGACCGGCCTCATCACTGGGAGCCCATAGCCACAACAGGCTCTCTTTCTGGGGACAAACGCCTTCTCATTTCTTATAGGTCCTCTCCATCTACATTCCCTCCAGGTCTACTTGCTCACGGGTGCTCCATATGGATGACTGTGAGAATGCTTCCTTAATATTCTGTAACTGGTAATCATAGTTAAGGCTCTGGAGAACTAAGTCGGTGTTTACAGAGGCAGATAATTTAGTAATTTCTATAAAAAAGAATTTAAGACTTTATTCGAAATGATTACTGTTCACTCTACAGTTGCATTAAAGGACCAGTGGTTTAAGTATTCAACATATATAAATACTGGAAGAATGTTCTAAAAGAAAATACCATAGTAACCTAACCAAGTGCTAAAACTGGATACAAGATACATGGTTTTTGTTGTTGCTTCGTTATGTCACCTACAGTACTAAAAGGTTCAGACTATGATGATGCAGAACTTCTATTCCAAAACACGATTAGCATTTAAATGTTACATTTTTATATTTCTCTTATATATCTAAATATGACCCTAAATAAGTCAAGAGGATTCTACAGAAGGTGTTTGAACTCAGGCTGGAGTTCTGAAAATTAAATCAGCTCATTTTCTTTCTGCCTAGACTTGGCACAAGCTGTAACACATGTAAAGAAGCTAAAGCTTTGCTTACCCATGTCAACTGCATTTCTGGTTGAAGACGAGGAGTTTGATCCCACAATGAACAGCTTTGCTGGGTGGTGAGGAAAACAAAGTCGATCACTACACTTGGGCACAGCCTAACTGGACAATATCAACCTATAGAAAACCCTCAAGTTTCCTGTCCTAGTCACATAACTTTAAGACAGAAGTATATTCCCCTGTAATTTTAAAATGATATGCTATCTGCCAACAAGTATGTTTAAGAACAAAAGCAAATACTAACTTTTCACTTACCACGAGGCAGCTCAGATCAAGTATTTGAAATATGGAGATAGATGCACGTAAATTGTTTGCTTATATTTTGTTTTTTTGGGTCACTCTGTGACCCAGGCTGGCCTGGAACTCATTATGGAGGCCCAGGTGAACTAGACCTTGAGATATTCCTCATCTCTGCCTCCTGAGTAGTTAGGATTACAGGCGTGAGCCACAGGTACCCAGCCTGGCTTTCGTTTTTAATACCTGAAGATAATTCTGTAATTTTGATAGAGTATAGTTCACCAAATGAGTTTCTGCTTACTGAACTTTAAGTTAGTAGTTCCAGCTTCCTAGTAACATATATAATTCTAAAACATCTTGGTAACTTTACCCATTCAGGTTTATACTGAGCAATTTCCCAAGGCTGTATAGTCAGAAATGTGATTATGAGTGAAAGGATTTGACCTTTCTTGTAAGCCTTCTTCATTTTGTTACCTTTTAATTTATAAACAATGTCACTAGGTGACCAGACCACCAACAGTGACAACTGCTCTCCTAACAAGATAGGATGCTCAACCAGTGCCCCCAAATCTGAAAACCTCTGAAGTCTAAAACATTTCTGCTCCCAAGTATTTAGGGTAAGGGATATTTAATCTATCCTGAAGGGATTTTTTTTAATTTAGTAGGTATACTATGTACCTGTCCAGGACCACATTATTTGGTGTTTCTTTGGTTACCAGGAAAGCTGAGTCACTCCTGATATAGAAAGCTTATAACACAGGTAAGACTGAGGCTTTGGCCTGATTTAAACTCAGTTTCATACGTACATGTTTACTTTATATAAACTCACTGCTCAAATATCCAAATTTACTCAGCAGAAAAACAGTAGGACTAGTAGGAGAGCTTCTTGCTCCCTCAGAAAGGAGAGTGGAGGAAATTTTACCAAAGGTGACTAGCATTCGGCATCTGACACATGGGTTCTTGTACATTTCTTATGTCTGTCCCTTCCTGTCTACTGCTAGGTGGTCTACCTGAAATGCTGCTTCTTCATGTTACTCCCTATCAGGTAAGTCAATGTTCACCATTTGGTCCAACGCTGGCTACCATAATTACATTGTGTGGAATCCTTCCCCACCACTATCCCTTGGTCCAAGAACTTGGCCATCTGAAATGTCTCCTCTGAAAGAGAAGCCATTTTTAGATACGTAGAAGGTGCAAAGTTCCTTATGTACGGAGACTTTTGATCTTAGCCCTTCGGGAACTGAGGACAACTTGTAAGTCATCCAAGAAAAATCTCCATCAGGATGAATTATAAACAACCACATACACAAAGTTGACTTTACTTCCTTTCTTACAGTCAGCAATGTGAAATTAACAAAAAGAAATGGGTTTTGGAGTCAGGCATACCCCAAGCAGGCTTATCTGGTTCAACCACTTACTGGTTGTATGACAACTTTCTTTTCTCTTTCCTAATTGATGGGGTTTCACTATGTTGCCCAGGCTGGCTTCCAACTCCTGGGCTCAAGCAATCTTCTTGTCTCAGCCTCCCAAGTAGTTGAGACTACAAGTGTGTGCTGCCACACCCAGCTGTATGACAACTTTCAAGTTATTTAATGTCACTAGTGTAACGAGATGAGATCTATCTTGCTAGTTTTGATAATTACAAGAGGAAATCTCACCATAAAATGACAAGTACAGTACCTAGCATAAAGTAAGACTCAATAAATAGTAGTTATTATTAGAATCAAAAGAAAGTGCCCCATCTCATCACAAGTCTGCCTCAATGACCAAAACACAACATGGCAACAAGTAATGGCCACCTGGCACTTACTCTGTGGCAGTCACTGTCTAGCTGCATGCTTCTTGTGATATTTCATCCAATGTATAAGGAAGCTGTGAAATGACTGCATCCCATTTTACATATGAGGAATGTAAGGCCCAGAGGGATAGACACTTGCTAGCCCAGGAAGACAGCAGCCGGTTCTCTGCATACACAGGAATGTCAATCAAGCAAGCTCAAGACGTCAATGACTCTGTCCTGCTGACTGGACGCTGAGGGCAAGGGCAGCATGGCTTCTCACCTTTGGTTCTGGAATGCAGCAGTCACTACATGTGCTGAATGGGTCTAATATGTACTTCCTTCCTTTCCATGCAACTAGTCCAGACTTCCTTCCACTATTTCCAGGCCACCTTGGGCATGGCTTACCACTACCTCTCCAGGAGGGAGGACTTGTATCTGCTCTAGAGACACTGCTTCCAAGCCTCCCCTTTGTCCTTGCTGTTTCTTCCACCCTCGCCTTTCTGTTGCTCTGAACACACATGAATTACATGACGTAAGGATAGCAGGCTGAAACTTTATTCTGACTCCTCTGAAGGAGTAGGCAATGATTTCCTATCACTCCACCTTAGGAGGTGACGTTACAACTATATTAAAAAAGTCTTTGTGTTTCTCACACTTGGTGACCGAAGCACTTGTTTGTTACTGAGCAAAGAAAGGCTATTCCCACGCCTGACAAAGCCACATTCCAACTGTACAGGGAGTAAACAGTAAGGCTGACTTTTACCGGAAACTTTCATTTCTTCTCTTTCATCAGGGTTTATCTTTTCTACTGCATGAGATACAGTGCATTCCAGGACGTCCGGAAACTCCTGTAATGAACATGACATCGACAATAAACATCAAATCAATGTTTCTGATTAATTGTAAAATTCCCTGTTGTCCACAAAGACCTAAGACAAGAGGACTCTGAACTTGAGGTCTGTGGGTTTCATAGGGTGTTAATTCCTGACGTAAAGGCAAAACCCATGTGTGTGTCTTTCCATCTTCTGAAAAAAATATACTCATTTTGATTGAGGACTCAGCAGGAAGCATGACCAAAAGATAAAAAAAAAAAACGAAACAAAAAAAACAAGCAGGGGAGGGAGATATGAGGAGCAAAAACCACTAGCACAGCAATTTTACTTAAAAATAAACCAGTGAAAATAATATGCACTTGAATACCGACATGGTAAAAACCTTCTACACTAATTACAAACTTTATAAAAAGTTTCTGTTCCTTTGGATTTTAATGTCATTGAAGTTTAACCTGTAAGTGGACTTAGGTGTGTTTTTAGTAGAGCTGTTTTAGGTTCACAACAACATTGAGCAGAAGGTACAGAGATTTCTCCTTTACCCTCTGCTCCCCCATCAGTGTCATTTGATGACACATCAATGGGGTCATGCTTGTTACTGTTATGTGTAAATGACATGAGCCCACCATTAGAGCATCAGTGAGTAGCAGCATGGTAGCTTGGTCACAAGAATCCTGCGTCTACCTTCATTCTTCCTTTCCACCCAACCCTGGCAACCACTGATCTTTTCACTGTCTCCACAGTTCAGCTTTTTAGAGTGGTAAGTAGCTGGAATCATACAGCATGTGGCCTTCTCAGACTGACTTCTCTCACTTAGTAATGTGCACTTAAGTTTCCTCAGTTCTTTCATGGCTTCAAGGCTCGTTTCTTTCTAGCACTGAATAATATCCTATTGTCTGGATGCACCATAGGTCATATATTGAAGGCCGTCTTGGTTGCTCCAGACTTTTGGCAATTGTGAGAAAAGCTGCTATAAATGTCTGTGTGCAGTTTTTTTGTGAGCATAACATTTCAACTTGTTTGAGCAGATACCTAAGAACAAGCTCTCTGGATCATGTGACAATAGCATATATAGTTTGTAATCACAAACATTTTTAAGTGACCAAAAAGTGCCATCCAAATGCATCATAATGAGTAATTTATGAGGACAATGATATCAGTCAGAAGCATTAACTTACATAACAAGATTTGACAAAGTAAACAGCAGTGTCTTTCCCATGATTTGTGAACACATTACAACACCTAGCAAGAACGGGGAGCTTAGTGTTTATGAAGTCATGCATACATGCAATGCTCTTTTCAGATGAATAAAAATCAAAGACATTAATCAATGTCTATATAGCAGCTGTAATTAAAAACTTGCTATATCCAGCACTTGTCCTCTTATAATTTTAAAGTAGTCTATAATTTAATATGAGCCTTTGGTTGAGTTGGATTTCACAGACATTTTGTATATTAATATTCATGATTCAGTCATATACTGCTGTCTAATGAAATACAATTCCTTATTATTTCATCAGAAACTGACATTTTAAAAAGAATTTTAGCCACTGTATTATGGGGGTGATATTCTACCAAGGCAGTCTACCAACCAATGTGTCTGATAACCATCCCTCTGCTAGACTATGTGTCACGTGAGGAAATTTGGGATTAAGCAGAGGAGTCCTACCTGAAGAGCCAGATCCTTCTATTCTCTGCCTGTTCCTACAGACCAGGGGGCCATCCTGACAAAAGAGGCACAGAGGCTGACGGCTAACAACCTGTTTGACTTCCCTCCCTTGTAAAATGGGATGCAGTTATTTCACAGGCTTCTTTAAAAGTTGGATGAAATATCAAAAGAAGGAGTAGCTAGACAGTGATTGCCACAAAATAAATGCTTCCTGCTTTCTTCACTTCCTCTTTGACCTGCAAGATTTCCACACTCACATTCCACTTACCCTGACCAGCTCTGGGCTGATTTGGGAACTCCACTCATTCAAGGTCTTTTGGATACAATCTCGAAGCTGCAAAAGAAATGCATTTTGAAACTGTTCATCAAAGGCTCTTCAATTCTCATATTTGTACAAGTTAAGTGAGAAGAATAGTTATCAATAGGAAAAACCATGCAAATCCATTCTACAAGGTTTTTGTTAACTTCAACATAAACTCAGACCTATTTTGATTCTACTCTTAATTTTCACACATTCTTGATCTAAAATAGTAGTCTATTTTATAGTGTTTTATACCAATAAAACTCACTTTTGCAGGGTGCCGTGACTCACGTCTGTAATCCTAGCTACTCAGGAGGCAGAGATCAGGAGGATCACGGTTCAAGGGCAGCCCAGAGAAATAGTTCTTGAGACCCTATCTTGAAAATATCCAACACAAAAAAGGGCTGGCAGGAAGGCTCAAGTGGTAGAGCACCTGCTTGGCAAATGAGAAGCCCTGAGTTCAAAACCCCGTACCATCAAAAACAAAACAAAACAAAACTTTTAACTTTTGAGACATTAAAACATTCATAAGAAACAAACAATTGGCTGGTGGAGTGGCTCAAGTAATACAGCACCTGTCAGAGGCCCTGAATTCAAACCCCAATAACCTCCAAAAAAAAGAAACAAAAATTATTTTAAGAATAAGGTTATAAAATAACTTGGGCCAGGTGTGGTGACACACCTATGGAATTCCAGCCTTGGAAGGTGAAGGCAAGAGGATCCCAACTTTGAGGCCAACCTGCAAGACTCTGTCTCAAAAAACAATAACAAAAGCAAGCAAACAAAATAAAAAAGAAAGTTGGATTAAGCCCTATGCTACACTCCTCAAAGACAAACAAATGACAGAGAGTAAGTGTGGCCAGAGGAACTGCTACATTAGATTCATATGTGCTGTTTGTTAAAAATTCAAGATCCTGGGCTGGAGGTGTGGCTCAGTGGTAGAGTATTTGCCAAGCATTGGTGAGGCCCTGGGTTTATTCCCCAGCACCGGAAAAAAACAAATAAAAAATTCACTCCCCAGCTTAATCCTAGACCCGATGAACTCTCTCCAAGAGCAGCAAGAACTTTTCATGTTAACAGGCATACCAAGTAACTCCTATGTACTGTAAAGTCTTCAAATGAATTACCAGGATGGCTCTGAGTTTAAGACAAATACAGACAAAAAAATAAAAAGAACATATCATTTTCTAACACTTAGGTACACATCTAATCCATCTTTGTAAGTGTATTTTTATACTAATGTTATAGTATGTTGTAAGTTCACTGAAGTGTTTATTCCTATTTTACCTCATTAGTGTATTTGAAACTTACTTGATAGTGATTTGTTCATTGAGTGAAGACGTAAATTCACGTAACAGAATGAAAATTTCACAAAATGATAGTATGCTCTAGTGGCTTCTATTCTATTAATTAGAAAAAATATACTGTTCCACGACTCAATATTTTGAGTCATTTATGACTACTGACCAGCCAGCTCGAGCAGGGTTTAAAACAATGACCAAGGTCACACTGGGTAATCAATGAAAAAGTAACTAGAATGAGTAACTAGAAGCAACTCCCTGAACTGCAAAAGCACTTTCTCAATGGCAAGGACAGACTAAACTTCTGGCTGTTCTGGGATTTGAACTTGGGGCCTGGAGCTTGCCAGGCAGGCGCTCTACCACTTGAGCCATGCCTCCCGTTGGTAATCCTTCTGACAGAATCATTAATTTAAAAATTAGTAGAAGCTGAGAAGTTAGCAAGTCTATCAAGAATGCTTTGGCTCAAATCTGAGCAGAATTCTAAGAAATTTTCCTGTGGAAGAATGACTCATTATTACATAAAGCTTTCATGAACTCCTCAATTTAGGAAGGTAAGAATATTTTTAGAGAATTGGCCCCTTTCCTGCAATCATTTCCTTAATTAATCTTGGATTCTACAGGAGAAATTATTGAAAAAGTCCAAAGTTATTTAATTACTTGAGAAATTCATTGAGTGTATCACAACCTAGTGATTTTTAATCTGTAAATTACATATTACCTATACTGACTGAACATTAAACCTGCCCTTTTGGTTCCTGTTCTGTTCATTCTTACTACACACAATATCACTAAAGATAAATATCACTACACTTGGCCTATCATCAGACCTGGAGTTGCATAACAATTTAAATACCACATGACTAACACAGAGCAATAGACAGGTGAGTTTGACCAAAGTACATCGTAAGTACGTATGCAAATATCATGATGAAACCCATTTATTAGCACACATTAGTGTACATGTTTAATAAATTTTTAAAAAATATCACATGATTCAAGTGGCTGAATACCCTCCCAACAAAGAAAGGAAAAATCTTAAGATGAAAAAGACAATATTTAACTCTGGCTTAAACCTTCAGCACTGTCAAAGTGAACAATAAAACTAAATACATGTTAAAAAAACTCAGCATTTGAGTTCATAAAATTCTAGTGAAACACAACATGTCAGCAAAGGTCACAGAATAAAAACAAACAAAAAAAGCCCACATTACAATTAAAGAGACCTTTGAAGAAATTTAATTGAACTCTCTATCTGAAGTGTAATTTTGTTTTAATGGTGAGAGAAGGTTTTCAGTTTCCTTGATCTCTTTTTCAAGGTTGAATTGTGTGGAGAACCACATCCCAGTGTGGAGCTCTGGTTGTTAAAAGTTCTTTGTTTGTCTAATTCTAAGTAGTGGTCAAGCTTCCTACAGGACACTGCCACTCCCTGGGCGCTCTCCCCAGTGGTTCCTAGCTTCCTTAGTCTTGTTCTACTCTTATGACGCACCCTAAACAAAACACTACACACCACAGTTAGTCCTTTGAACAATGTTCTCAAACTGCACATTAGTGCATTAAGAATCAAATTTTTACAAAATAAAACAAGATAGAAGACATAGTATGTAAGGGTTACCATCTCTCTGTGAGACCTTTGTTTCTGACTTATGGATGTTCACACACATAAATATAAAACTATGCACCTGGTGGGTAAGATGCGTTTCTTACTGTTTGCAGTCAATAACTGTGAAAGCTACTCTTTAGAGTGTGTGTGGTGAGATAAGAGGTTTTACCCCATGCTGCCAATCCACAGGCAAATGCTACCCTGAATCCTACTGATGAGTGGTGAAGAAAGCAAGGCTCTATATACCAAATACAGAACTACTGTCGGGAAAAAATAGTCAAAGTGGGGTGGTTTAAACAAAGCACACAGACTGAGCTGGAGCCTGAAGACAGAACAGGATAAGGATTCTGGTTCCTATTAAAGGTACCACCCAGGGCTCCCAAGGTTGCCTCAGAGGGGTGCTAGATGCTGTGCTTAGTCTACAGCCACTTCTCCCATTAAAAGAGCAGAAACCTCTCTGAATACTGCTGATCACATTGCAATATGGCAGCATTCAGGAAACATGTTCTTTTAATCACATTTGCTTATCTTTCTGGTGAACCAGGAGACAGGGAGATAAATACCTGTGTGCTGAGTGTTTTCATACTATCTTGTAATCCTCACAGCCTCAGGAGGCAGGTATTAGCCAACTTTAAAGCTATGCAGACACACAGAGGGCAACTTTCTCCTATAATTAAAGGCTTGTTTATTTATTATTTTTGTAGAAGTTTTTTTTAATCTTTAACAACACATAATAAGTGTACATATTCACTGGGAATCTTTTTAAGTCCTAAAACTGTTCCATACTACCAATATGCCTGATTAGGTTACAGTTAACAAGTGACTCAGGATTGGCCAGCAGCAAATGTGTAAAAGTTTCTAATTCTGATTCCTCTGTGCCACCTCCAACTAGTAATTAATCTTCAGGCAAATAAAACAAGGCAGATTAATGTGAAGTAAGAAAAGAGTGTACCTGCTCCCAAACCAGATCTGAAAGTTTAATCATTTACTGCAATACAGAAACCAGTGTCAACATTCCAAAAAATGCATCCCGAATACGATTTCATCTGATGGATGCTGGTCTGTGTAATATTCCCTTACCTGGACAGGTGGGGGAAGGACAGGTGGGGAGGGACAAATGGGGGAGGGCCAGGACCCTGGGACTTGCAGGGATGTAAAGTTTTCTCACCTGTCAGATGCTGACCTGCGTAATATACCCTTACTGACAGACGTGTGTGTAGGAGTCCGGGGGTGGGGGTGGGGCCCAAGAAGTGGGGAGAGGGTCAGAACCCCAGGACCTGCAGGGGTGTAAAGTTAACCCATCCTAAGCACGATTTCCTGTACATGACGCTGACCTGTCTAATACTCCCGTAGCTGGACATTTGGGGGAAGTACAGATGGGGGAGAGCCAGACCGCCGGGACCTGCAGGGGTCTACAGTTAATGCATTCTGAACACTATCTCACCTGTCAGATGCTGCCCTGTGTAATATCCCCTTACCTGGACAGGTGGCACCAAGAAATGGGGCGAGGGCCAGGACCCCAAAACCTGAAGGGGTGTATGGCTGATGCATTCTGAACGCTAACAGTCCCTTAGCTGGACGGGTGGGGGAAGGACAGGTGGGGAGGGACAGGCCCCCGGGACCCATGGGGTGTGAAGTTAGCACATCCGGGACTGACTTTCCGTGCAGAGCTGGCCTAGCTGGACCGCGGGGACAGGCGGGGGCAGCTCACCTCCTCGCTGTGCGTGGACGGGCACTTCTTGCGCAGGCGGCCCCAGTTGAGCAGGTTCCCGGTCTGCAGGTGCAGCGTGCGGGCGCGCGCCAGGAGCGCCCCGGCCGCGCGGCTGTCGGTGCCCATGGCCGCCGGGCGGGAGGCGGGAAGGCGGGAAGGCGGCGGCGGCCGCGCCGGACGCGGGCCGGCGGGAGGAACGCGAGGCCGCGGCCCGCGCGGAGCTCGGTGTGCGCTGGCGGAGGAGGCCGGCGGCCGGGCGGAGGCGGCGGCGGCGGCGGCGGCGGCGGCGGCGGCTCGGCACAGCGGAGCTGTTTCCTGGAGACGATGACGAAGCAGAAAGCGCGGCCGAAAAAGTGCTTCGTAACCGTTACTCGGCCCGCGGCAGGGCGGGGCGGGGCGGGACGCGGAGGTGAGGGAGGGCGCCGAGGGCCGCGGGAGACTGGCCCGGGCCTGCGGCGGGCGGGGCGGGGCAGGGCGGGGCGGGGCAGGGGGCGGGGCGCCGAGGGAGACTGGCAGGGGCCTGCGGAGAGTGGGCATGACAGCGTAAGGGGGCGTGGCCGGGGCGGGGCAAGGGGCGTGCAGGAGGCGGCGGGCTCCCCCTGCCGGTCAGAGCGCTGCGCGGCAGGGAGCTCAGCGCGGCAGGGAGCTCAGCGCGATAGGCTTCACCAGGGCTCCGTGCCGCGGGCTCCCCCTGTCGCGAGGTGTAGGGAACACAGCATGGCCGGGCCTTTAACATCCACCCCGCAAGCAGCGAGATGCAGCGTGGGGGACCCCTCCTTCCGTTCGGGGCATGGAGTGCAGCGTGGCGGGCTCCCCTTTTGACCAGGGGCAGCACTGTTGGCTCCCCCTGCCGTTTGGGGCGCAGCAGTGGGGGCTCCTCCTGCTGTTTGGGGTGCAGTCCACTGTGCTGCAGATGTCCACCTAGGCCTCTTCCACAGGAGAGCAAAGGTGCAGGAAGGCCTTGAAGACCAGTGGTTCCGGGTTCGGTTGTTCCCTGCCTTGCTACCTGCAAGAACGTTCCCCAAACTACTAACTGTTCTTCAGGTCCATTCATTAAAGGCCTGTTGGTTTTCCCTATCTGCTGGCACTGTGTGACATCAAAGAAAACAATTTAATCTTTGTCCTTGAGAGGCTTAAACTTGAGTTCCAGAGACAGGGCAAGCCATGAAACTGTAAGTCATAATATAAGAATAGAGGGCCAGGTGTGATGGTGCACATCTTATCCAAGCTACTTGGAGGCAGAGGTAAGAGGATCACAGTCTGAGGCTGAGCAAAAGTCCTAGCTCCTAACTGAAAAAGCAAAAGGACTGGGGGCGTACCTCAAGTGGAGGTAGAGGTCTGTCCCAGGACGGGCAAAACTTAAAATGTGTGTGTGTGTGTGTCACGGGGGAGTTAGTCTCCAGGTGCACCCAGAATAAAGAGAACAGGTGAGATCACAGAAGCCTTTACTGCTCCCCCCTCGCAGGTGGCTGTGATTCTTTACCACTGTTCACCTTGGTGTTACACAGAACAGAACATCGTGGAGCTTTTCTCAATAAGCCTTTGAGTTTATTGGGGTGAATGAGAGCTATTAAATGGCAAAGCTATCCTCATGATAAGGGGTCCAAAATCTACTAAAAAGAGAGGTGAATTTGAGTTGGTAAATTGATAAGAAATAGGAATGGAGCAGAAATAGGAATTAAGCCTCCTGCTGCGTACTTGTTGGTGCACTGGGTGTCCGGAAGAGTTCACTGATGAGAAGGGTAATTCCAGAGGCAAGAACTAGGTCTGGTGGAGGCGGCTCAAGTGGTAGAGCGCCTGCCTAATCAAGCATGAGGCCCTGAGTTCAAACTCCAGTACCACTCCTCCCACCTCAAAAAAACCAAAAGAGCTGGCAGAAGCAAGAACTAACTTGGGCTACCATAGCGGATGCAAGCATTGGATTCTCCTGCTAAATTTGCTGTGGTATCGTTGCTTGTCTTCTTATATATTCTCTAACTCCATGCAAACAATGGCTGACTAAAGCTTAGGGGGTACAGATCGTAAAGTATTACGCCTACCTTCTTTCTAGGAAGTTACCGAACAGGTTGGTCAAGAATGTTGGCGCTGACATAAACTTGGCTTTACCAGGTGCTATTTTATTTTAGACAAGTCTCTCTGTGTTCTGCTTTCTTCAAACCAGGAAGGTCATAGTTTAAACTATCATGAAGCTGTTGATAACTGGCTGTTTTTAATCTATGGACATGGAAAGTCCCAGGATCCCACCTAATGTCATACAGTAGTGCTGGGTCTGGAGACCTAAGGCAGATGAGTGAGTATCCCACCCCCCATGGAAGGCACTAGCATTCCTGCATCTGAGGAGATGGAGGCCTGCATTCCTGCGTCCTAAAGGAGAGATACACATCTGCCACAGGGCTGATGAGCAAAATGCTCTCAAGATTGATTGTTCTCTTCCCCCAATAAAGGTGCTAACCAAACCAGTTCACCTGAGAAAGCCCTCGAATCCACAGCCAATGAGAAAAACCCACCTAACCCAGAGCTGGGACGTCCATAAAAGCCCTAGCCTTCACCTGAGCAGCGAGCTACGGGCTTCCGGGCTCTTCTGCGCTTCTCTAGCTGTAGCCTTTCCTTTCTCTAATAAATCCCACTTTATATACCGGCTTTGGCTCATCATTCAGCTGCCTCGAGAGCCAGTTCCTTGCCTTCACAGGCCAGGACCCTCGATGCCTGCCTGTAGCACTTCGACACCGGCACGTAACAGTAGGGTGAGGCGGTCATCAGAAGAGGTGCAGAAAGCCCTCGTTCCCCTACTTGGCTTGTGGTGAATGCTCAGTATTTGAGAGCCTGTGACTAACTCTGCTCTCTCCTCTAGGAACCCAGTTCCCGGAGGTTGGTAAATTCCTAATCCGCATCAGGTTATGTTGTTAAGATTTACATATGTAAACTTTGCTTTTCACAGCCACTCTGTTACGTCACTCAGCTAGCAGTAAGTGTGGGTCCCTGGTCAAAACCTAGACCCTTTGGCCTGATGAAACCTCACACCCTTCCCTTTGGACTCATTCCTCTTCCATACTACAGATAACTTAAGTTCCTGAACGTGTTTGTGCACGATCCACATGCTTCCAGTACCCTACAGCTTTTCGTTATACTTAATGATATCCTTGCCGTGACACCAGGTTGGGAGGAGTGAAATTGAATCTTCTAAATGTATTCTAGGGACGGAACCAGGGTGTACAAGTCAGAAGAATTGATTATATGAGTGAGTCATTTCTCCTGTCTAGAAGACAGGATATTTATAATACTCCCATCACTGGGAATAGTATGAGTTTTGTTTCTCAGTGCTTTGAAATTTTCCTGTAAATGCTGTGTAAACAGAGTTACTAACATTGACTGCTTTTTTTTTTTTTTTTTGCATTCTCCTTGGTACTTATAGGATCTGATACTACTGTTCATGCTGTCCTTCCAGAGTCATTCTCCTAGCCAGGCACCATGACTCACACCTGTAATCCCAGCTACTTGGGAGGCTGAGATTGGGAGGATCTTGGTTTAAGGACAGCTCAAGACCAAGTCTCCAAAATAACCATAGCAAAATGAGCTGGAGTACAGCTCAAGCAGTAGAGTGCTTGCTTTGCAAGTGTGAAGCCCTGTGTTCAAACCTCAATCCCACCAGAAACACCAACCAAACAAAAAAATTCTCTTTCTGTGACCTGTAACATACTCCACCAGCTTCCCCAATACATTTGATCACAATTTTTTTTTTTTAAATTCTAAGTGGAATCCCAGCTCCTGCTCACAAATTCTAAGTGTTTAGATCAAAGTGAACAGTGAAAAGGAAAGGCTCATGGGCAAATTCATTGCCTCAGGAAGCAACCATAATTTTACCTTATTAAGAGACCATCTGGTGTACTTTATTCTTAAGAGGGTAAAATTCTCAAATTTTTTTTAATTCCTAAAATAACTATGGTTGAGTCACTATATTCAGGAACCACTACATGGGTCCTGGCCCCTCAGAGGTGAGGGGTTTTCAAGGACTTCTGCCCATATTCCTTGGAAATAGTACGGCTGTCTCATGGCAACTAGTTCCTGTGATTGGTGGTAGAGCACAGGCAAGTGCTGAGGAGTTTGTCCTAAAGACAGGAGGGTGTGAAGATGTAGGTAACCTTTCAGGTTGGAGGGAATGAGGACGTGGGTAAGGAAGAACTGTCATCAAGAGGAGACTTTGGGGTTTGGTCTAAGAGGCACTGGGGATTCCAGCTGGTGTAAAGTGTTAGGTCCCTGGCATTCTTGGGGTGGGCGGAAGATCCCGAAGCTAGCACCAAAACCAGACCCCCTGATTTATGGCCGCTTGCCCAACTCCCTGTTTGTTTCTCTGCTTGAAAAACACTTTAGAAACTTCCAGTTACTCAGTTAGCCAGGCATGCCGACCTGTTCCATCTGGTGATCACAGATAATTGGAGACCAGAGACTCTCTTACTCCCCCACGGCTTGGCCCCTCCTATAAAGCCCACTACCCATTTCAGCCAAGCTGCTGAGCTCTGAACCCGAGAGTGACAGCCCTGCAGTCTTGTTCCCAATAAATCTTTCTTTTTCACACGTGGCGTGGTCTTTATTTGGCAGTACCTTACATAAAGCAGAATTGACACAAAGCCATCTCAATTGTCCTAAAAAACATTTCTAAAACACTATGTGCTAATTCAATAGGTGTTTCTCAGGTGTCTGTTACTTGCCAGATTAATTCAAGGTGAGCAAAAACTTTGGCCCTGTCCTTTTGGATTTCCTGTCTTGAGGAGGAGGCAGACTTTTAATCAATCATGAAATTGCAAATAAATGTAAAATTCTACTGTCATTGTTACTATGAAGCAGGAATACAGATATATTAAATTACAAGTGCTTCACAAGGGAGGGGTGAGGATAGATAAGACACCTAAAAAATTAGCCAGCATTTGTTGCCCTTAACGCAGAGAAACTAAAGCAGATACCTTAAAAGCAACTGAAGCCAATAGGAAAAGGTGACCAGGAACTAGAGAAAAGGTGAGATCAAAAAGAATTAACCTAGAAGGTAACACCCACGCACAGGAAATCAATGTGAGTCAATGCCCTGTATAGCTATCCTTATCTCAACCAGCAAAAACCCTTGTTCTTTCCTATTATTGCTTATACTCTCTCTACAACAAAATTAGAAATAAGGGCAAAATAGTTTCTGCTGGGTATTGAGGGGTGGGGAGAGAGGGAGGGGGTGGAGTGGGTGGTAAGGGAGGGGGTGGGGGCAGGGGGGAGAAATGACCCAAGCCTTGTATGCACATATGAATAATAAAAGAAAA